CAGTGTTTGCCGTCCTTAGACTTGATGCTGGTTTTGAATCCCCTGTGTTTTTTCTGACCTGGGAGTAAACACAGCAATTTCCTAACTGCACAAATATCTTTAAAGAATGGTACGATTTGAGAAAGGCAGTGAGTTCTGATCTGTGCTACTCCTCGCTGCTGGAGGCAGCCCCAGTCTCCATGCCAGAAGCCGTGGCTCACTGCACCCTAAAGCACCATCACATTTTTCCTTCTCTGAGTTCTTCATCTGGAAGCTCACTTTGTCCTCATGCCCGGGGGGTTCCCCCCCATTCACCACTGCTATGAGCACAGCTTCCCCCCAGCGACCCGCTGTAACACAGCTGCAGCCTCACCAGTCTGAAAATGGGAGCTCGCCAGCTCCCAGAGCCCGAAAGTGTTCCTTCCCCAGGGTCCTTTATTCCTTGCCTGCACTCTTCTGCCTTGTAAACAAGTGCTTGGGTATGGGCAGAGGCGGGCAGCTCACCTAGGAGCTTCATTTTTCCCTCTATGTTCTACTGCCTTACCTGGAGCAGATTCTATAGTTTTTGGAAGCACACACACGGTCTTAGGAGAAGGAGCTAAGTCTTAGAACTCAAGCATCCTATGGCTATGGACCATGACATCTTTCCTGGACAGTGGTAGCAGCTTGCTGGGAGGGATGATGAGGACTTCCCTGCACTGCAACAAAATATTTTGTGGTTGTGGTTCTCCTAGTCCTGCCCTCTGTGCTCCAGAATCCTCCTGGATCTAGCCCTCTAGGGAAATGAACAGAGAAACTGTGGGCTTCTCCCTCCTGCCTGAACTCTATTGGAGGCAGGTGTGGAGTTACGCAGCCCAGTGAGCTCCATCTCTCTCACCCTGCTTTCCTGTCATCTTTCAGGCTGTGCTCTTCACAGGCAGAGTTGCCCACCTGTCTGTGCATACATCCATGCAGCATGCAGCTGGGAAGCGATCTCACTGGGAGCTGCTGTTGCTATTCATATAATTAATAACTGTGACCTTTCCATAAAAATGAGTATCTTTTTCAGTGAATTACGACATATAATGATGTTTGTAGGAAACAGACTGCTGGGTATCTCATGCTGAAGAACGCCTGAGCTTCCTATTTATGACTTTGTGAGATCAATAAATAACTCCATTACAAGCAAAATTGTAATGGCAAATGGCTTCAGCCTGTGGGACACCAGCTGAAATCCATAATGAAATCACAACAGCCCTGATGGTCCCATGGAGGCCCTTGGAGGACTGGTGGGAGTTTGGGCATGTCAGCAGCTCCCTGGAGAGGACCCAGTGGCCCTGAAGCAGGCCTGGTGAGTTGGAGGTGGGGACAGGTCGCTCTGTGGGTACACTGAGGGTCCCCAAGCTCTCTGGCACAGGGGTAGGGCCGGAAGCCACAGCACAGTGACCCTGTCTTCATCTGCTCAGTGACAGCATCATGGCCACATCGACAGCTCTATGACCAGGGCAACAATGGCCTGACTCCATTTGCAAAAAAGAAGAGAGGGCGAATGCTTTCATAGTGTTCTAAAATGCCTTAAAATCCCTCCAGTCCACAGAACAAAGTGTTTCATACCTTCTCTTCTGGAAACCTTTTGGCTAATATTTGAGCAATAAAGAAAACACAGCAGCTGTTAGTGTAATTTCCCCCTAGAGGCAGATTGTCCTCAGGTAAAACAAAACCCAATTAATGTACCATCAAGGTCAGGTAAATTAGACAGCGCAGACCATCATAATGCAGAGCTTTCCTCCAGCTCCTGCCACCGGCTCCAAGTGGCAGCCCAGCAGAAGCACCAGAGCAGCAGGGCCTGTCTGTGTGAGTGCTGGGGCTGGGGCTGCTCCACTGGCAGTGCCACTGTGGGTACTGGGGACAGGCAGCTGCTGTCTGCCTTCAGCTTGCTGCTTCTGTCGTTGCAAACCAGATGCCGAGGAAAGATTTAAAAGTCAACATTATTTGAAATTCAAAAATATATAAAAAACTCGACCACAAGGATTTTTTTTTGTGGCAGGGAGGGGACACATGAAGGGGAGAATATTCTTTAATCCTCTGATTATAGTCCTTTTCTATTTTAGTTTTGACTTTTATTTTTTAAAGCTGTGGTTATTTTTTTCTTTTATTAAGCAGCCAGAGTCACTTCTCTCTCTCTCTGCCCCTTCAGCCCCCAGAAGGGGTCCTCTGAGAACCAGACCTCACCCCAGACTTTTCCCTCGCAGCCGGGAACGCTGCCATACATACATTCCTCTCCTTGTTTGTGCCTGAAGACTGCTCAGAAGCTCCAAATGCAGCTGCACCAATTTACTGAGACACTGCATCGCACCTCATTCCCCAGCCCCCACCAGGCCTACATCAGAATGGATGCCATTGCATTTTTCAGCTAGAAATGTGAGTTTCATACAATGTGGGATTAACCCTTCGGCTAATCCAGTCTCACCTACAGATGACTGTTCTACTTAAGTTGCCAATACGTTTGATCAAGCCCAATCCTCTTTGATCAGACCACAGAGAACACAGCGTATGGCAGGAGACCTGGCCGGTTCTCCTGAGAGCAATCAGTTCCTTGCTTAGGAAACCTTCAACATAAAGCTCCCTGTCATTCTGTGGTTAGATGGGCCGAGAGCTGTGCCACCAGCAGTGTGATGGTGCCAGTGGAATTCAATGTCAGTGGATAAAAATCCTGCAGATTCAGGATCTGTATGTGCATGTGCACAGAATTGTTAAATATTTTAATAAATTACCTGAAATTCTTAATTATTAAAATTTTAGAAGAAATACAGGCTGAAGATAAGGGTATAACTCCACATGACAACCCTGAAAATCTGGCAGCTCACAGATCCAGTGCAAGGACAGTCGACAGGGAGAACTTCACCGGGGCTGGGGCGAAAATAATCTGGACTGAAACTCTAAGTGGGAGTCAAGCAACTGGAAGCCAGCATAGGAGAAGGGGCAGAGATGATGATACACGTATCATGGCAAAACCAGGCACAAATCCCAGAACAGGTTTGCAGTATCTTTGTTAACATCTCACAGGCACTTGCTGTGTGAGACACCAATGGGACAATGAGCTCATCAGGCCCAGACATCCATGGAGCCAGGCAGGGTTGGTGCTGTGGATGCTGCAAGGCCCAGGGGGCTCAGAAACACCATTGTTAGAGAAAGAGCTGCGGAAGGACAGAGGGTGATAAGGGATGGGGCTGGAGCAGTTCTTTGGGCTGTGCTGCTTCAGGCTGGGAGGCTCTGCAGTGCCTGCAGCCTTCTTGCATCCTCTGGGGACAGGTCTGGACTCTGGGATCCAGGGACACTCCTGTCACAGCCCCAGCCTGCAGCACAGGTGCTGTTGCTGGAAATGTCTGGTGTACCAGTTAACACACCCAGTGCACCTGATGGTGTCCAACTGGCACGACCTTGGCTGTTCCCGAAAGGAAGAGGCACCATCAGGCTTCTCAGCCTGCAGGCACGTGGGGCGTTCCTACCACAGGCTCCTTGTGCAACGTGACCGCAGAGAGACAAGCACTGCAAATCAAAAGAGCTATTTACACTCTGCAAGAGGAGCAGTGAAACGCGGTGTATTTGTAAGTGGGGATGCGGTAATTCAGTGAGAAATGCAGTTGGGAAGTCCCAGTAACAAAGGTCAAACAAACACTAGGAAAAATCACGCAGTCAGACAGGGAGGGATCCAGCTGTGCTGAGCACGGCTCATCGGTCCCAATTAGAGTGGTTTGTACTAACAAAGGGTGATCTCTAGCCCACAGAGCCTGTAATCTAATTTAAAATTCAGTGCAACAATGAAAATGAGGGAAAATAGGAGAGTAATGTAAAACATGATTAAGAGTTTGCTAAGCAAATGTAATCAGAGCACTTACACAGACAAGTGGCTGAGTGTTCGGAGCAGGTGGGGCAAGTTCTGTTTCTGCACGAGGGCTCACATCCTCACCACCACTGCTGCAAATTCCCTGCTTGAGGGGTGCCAGACGGCTTGAGGGATGCCGTCCCCATGTGCCCGCATTTCTGCAGGCAGGGGATGCTCTCGGTGGGTCCCCACGGCACAGCCGTGGCTGGGGCTGGGCTCCAGGCACAGCAGAACGCACGGAGCAAGGCTCCAGCCCGTGCATCGGCCATGGCATGCTGCTTCGCCAAGTCGCCGTGGGACTGTCCCGGCTCAGCCCGGGTAACCGAGAGACCCGAAAGTGAGGTGCTGACAACTTGAGGCGGCTCGGAGGAACCGTGGCAAAGCAATTCCTCCCCACACGTACAGCACTACTTTCCAAGGGCGGCTGTTAGCAACTCGGTGAACACCGCCGCTCCCGCTCCGCGCACGGCTGCAGACTCGTGGCACCCACGCGTGTCCGCGGCTCGCAGCGGGGCACAGCCGGCTCTGCGGCCACTCGTTGCCCCGTGGCTCGGCCTTACATCCCTCTCGCTCCGCAGGATGCCTAGCGGCGAGGCGGCCGGGTGCCGTATCGCGGCAGCTCCCGGGGTGACAGAGCATTGCGAGCGGCAGAGCTTCTCGAGGAGCGGCGTTCCTTGACGCCCGCACTGTGACCGGCGGAAACGCCCTCGAGGTGCGGTAGAATGGCGTGCGCCGACAGCCGTGCCTGCAGCCCCTCCAGCTCCTAGGAGGAAACCCGGCAGAGCGGCCGGCTCGGCCTCGCGGCGGATGACGGCTGCCGGCACGGCCCGCGAAGGGCAGCGAGGGGCGCTCCTGCCGTGACCCAGCCGGGTTGCTGGGCCCGGGGATGCCGCCGCGCCCCGTACCGTTTCCCCTCCGGCAGGGAGAGAGCTGCCGCGCCCCGGGGGACGCCGCGGGGGCCGCATCGCCCTCTCCGCGCCGGCCCCGGCAGCGGGGAGCCCCGGCCGGGTCCGGCCGCCCCCGCCCCCGCCGCCGCCAGCGCCGGCCCCAACTCCTCATTGGCCGCCGACGCCGGAGGGAGGATGACGGCCGGGCGGGAGCGGGCGCGGGGGTATAAAGCAGAGCGGGCTCCGCTCCCACCGTCCCCCGCCTCGCCATGCCGCGCGGCTTTCTCGTCAAGCGCAGCCGGCGCCCCGGCGGCTCCTACCGGGCGCGCCCCCGGGAGCGGGACCCGCCGCCCGCCCCGCCGCCGCCGCCCGCCGCCTCCGAAGGCGGCCCCGCCGCTCGGCCGGGGGCGGAGGAGGAGGAGGAGGGCGAGGAGGAGGGGGGCGCCGCCGCCGCCCGCCCCGCGCCCGCCGCCGCGACGTGGACCGCGGGCGGCGGGGGTGCCGGGGGCGCCGGGCTCGGTCATCCGGAGGGGCCGTGCGGCGGCTGGGGGCCGTGCGGCGCGGCGGGGCCGCGGGCGGCGTTCTTCGAGCGGTGCCTGAGCTCCCCCGCCTCCGCCGAGTCCTTCCCGCTGGCCGCCGCCTTCCCGCCGGCCGAGAAGCTGCCTCCGCCGCCCCGCACGCCGCTGCCCGCGCCCCCGCCGCCGCCCGTCCCCGCGCTGAAGCGGCCGTCGCGGGCCAAGGCGCCCGCCAAGAGGGCGAAGGCAGCGCGGAAGCTGAGCTTCGCCGACGAGGTGACCACCTCGCCCGTGCTGGGGCTGCGCATCAAGGAGGAGGGCCCCGAGGGGCGGCCGGGCGCGGAGCCGCCGGGGGGCCGCACGCCGCTGGGCGAGTTCATCTGCCAGCTGTGCAAGGAGCGCTACGCCGACCCGCTGGCGCTGGCCCAGCACCGCTGCTCCCGCATCGTGCGCGTCGAGTACCGCTGCCCCGAGTGCCACAAGATCTTCAGCTGCCCCGCCAACCTGGCCTCGCACCGCCGCTGGCACAAGCCGCGGCCGGGCCCCAGCGCCGAGGGCCCCGCCGCCGCCCCGCCGGGCAAGGAGAACAGCCCCGAGCGGCGGCCCCGCGCCGCCCCGCCGCCCGCGCCGCCCGCGCCGCCCCGTCAGCACCTCGGCGGCGCGGACAGCGGCGCCGCGGCCCCCGGCGCGGAGGCGTTCGCGTGCCCGTGCTGCCAGAAGCGGTTCCGGCGGCAGGCCTACCTCCGCAAGCACCTGGGCACGCACGGCGCCCCGCGGCCCGCCCCCCTCGGGCCGCCCGAGCGCGGGCAGCTCTCCTTCGGCTGCCACCTGTGCGGCGCCCGCTTCCCCTCGGCGGACATCAGGGACAAGCACCGGCTGTGGCACGCCGTGCGGGACGAGCTGCTGCTGCCGCCGCCGCCGCCGCCCGGGCGGCCCGAGGGCGGCGGGGCGGCGGGCGGCGAGCGGCAGGGCTTCCCCTGCAAGCAGTGCCCCGCCACCTTCTTCAGCGCGCCCGGGCTGGCGCGGCACGCCAGCAAGTGCCACCCGGCGGAAGGCAGGCAGGTCCTGCTGCTCCAGGTGCCCGTCCGCCCGGGCTGCTAGCCCGCCGAGTGCCCCGAGCCCGGGCCGGGCCCGGCCGCGCTGTAATTCCTATGGAACGTCGCGGTTCGTGTCCGCGCGGCCGCGAGGCGGAGGGGCCGCAGCCCCGGGCGGGGCGGTACCGGGCTGCCGTCGGCCCGGGCGGGAGCGCGGCTGTACAGGCGGTACTTACAGAGAGGAATTATTTTTTTTTCGTGAGAAAGGAGCCCGACCTAGCGACCTTGTTTCAATAGCCTTAGCCCCCGAGCTTCACCACTGAAGTTATTGTGAAGTGTTTCGTTCGCTGTATTATGTACCAAATAGGAAGGTGAATGTTCCCGTTCAGTCGGTGTCCGGTCACATAATAGCTAGAAAATCGTATGGGAACTTATTCGTGCTGTCCGCTTGCTAAGACGCGAGGCGTTGCTCTCCATGCTAAGTACGCATCTCCCGCTCCTTCCGTGCGTCCGCGCTCCGGCACAGTGCGCGCGGCTCCGGGGCTGCCACGAGTTCCGCGCTCCTGCCAGCCGGTGTCCCGCAGCCGGGTCGGGTCGGGCCGCTGCTGCTGTAGTGCGGAGAGCCCCGTGCTTTGCGGCGTCCTGCCCAGCGCTCCGACGCGGCGCGGCCCTCCCGCCCGCTGCCGGCGTCCCGGGCCGTATTTCTTCGTTCGGTTGGTTATTTATTTATTTATTTATTTTCACGCGGTGCTGCTTGTTTCCAAATGTGATCGCGGATGAGGCCAAAAGTAAGGACGAGCAAATTCAATAAATGGTCTAAAACAAAGCGAACGCCTTGCTTGAATTCCGGGGGGAAAAGCTGAAGAACCAAACCGAACCCGGGAAAGGAGCATGCAGAGTATTTCCATCTTTTCATTAAAAGCCATGAATTCCCTAGTTCTGTATTTTGTTGCACACAACAGGGTGCTTGCATGTATCATGCCCGAGGGCTGAGAGCAAGTGATAATGCTTCATTTTGTGCTTGGGTTCCAGGATCCGGAAAACAGAAAGCATCCAGCAGCCTGTTAGGCTGCTCTGTGCCGCCCGCCGAGGCCCTACCTGCAGCCCTCTGTGCCCTGCACAGAAGAACGGGCATTGTTGTAACAGCACGTCTGTGAGACCCTTGGTGGTAATTGAGGTTCAGCTAGAAGTGCCTGTTCATCACACTGAGCTCAGTGTTTTTAAACTACCATGCTCTTTTCTCTGCTTGTTGGAGCAAAGGAAAAGGGCTACGGGTCTGCGGACCCAACGATTGCTGGCTGTTCCTACAGTCAGCAGCAGCACTGAGCTGCACTTTGTGCTGCCGGGCACCTTGTTCCCCAGTCTGGGGATGGGGATCCCACACATTCCTGTGGTGGATGGGGAAGTGCCCCTCAGAGCTGGCTCCCAGCCTGAGCTTCGGTAGGAGTGGAAGCCCCACATCGCTGGCAGCCACCCTGTGTGCAGTTTGCTGACCTTTTACAAACTGGAGCAGAAATCTAGCGGCTGAGGTGAATGACTAATACACAAAAGGTGGTAAGAATAATTTTATTGTATTATTAAATAGCATGTCTTCTCTTCAACCATTACAAATTTGTAGATACTACATGAATGACAATACATAATTTATATTTTTACTGTTGCCCATATGATATATTTACACATGCAGTTAGTACCGATGCCATGCTACATTTTGTTAACAGCATTCTGTTGTTTGCCAGCCCCAAAATGCGAGCATCTCATCTCCGGTAGGAAAATATCTCTGGATGGGTGGAATGCGTGTACGGAGCTGCTCTCGGGGCTCGAATCAGCGGCACCGCAGGTCCAATCCTGCAGCGTGTTCCCTTTGCTTCCGCAGTACACAGCATCAGAGCAATGAGTTTAGGTCAGGAAAGTGCTTTTTTGTTGTTGGTTTTTAAGGAACAATGACACACATATAGCCCAGCAGCCTGGTAAGAAAGGCTAGAACTCACGGAACTCAGTGGCATTGACTACTGATACCACTTTGAAAAGCAAACATTATAAAAATATTTGGAAGCCAAGCAGAAGGAGAACTTCAGCACAGTGATTTTTATCTTTTCTGGCATAGATGATGGCACCACCTGTGCTGCTACGACATGACACGCTGCTCTGTGAGGAAGGAGCTGCTGCTGCGTGCAAGTTACTCTGTTTGGGCTCTGTAATGCCTGAAAGACTGTTGGAGTATTTCATTCTTAACATAAATAATCTGCACACAGGCTGTGCATTAGCACTGTGACATCTGACAGAGACTTTACAAGTGCAACTCCAATTTAAAACTGTACGTTCATTTTTCAAATTGTACATATTTCTTTCTTTGTTTCAGAGAAAACTGCAATGGGGCACAATAAATATGGTGTAGCCAAACGGCAGTCTCCAATTCTCATGTCACTCAGATCAACCAGAGCTAAAAAGGACTTCTGGGGAGGTGTCCCCATCACCCAGCACAGTAACAGGTACAGAGGGCAGGCTGCACTAAATAAAAAAAAGGGAAAAAATTGTAATAAAAAAAAGGGGGAGGAAAAAAAAAAGAGCCTGGGGTTTGAGTAAAAAAAAAAAACAACAAAAAAACAACAACTAAAAACAAAAGATGCTAAAATACGAAAGTAAAATTCCAGTGTCACTGTTTAAAACAAGCACACAGATGGGTAGGCAGGACCGGGTGCCGTCCTCCAGCTGCAGGCTGTGGGTGCTGTCAGGAAGCTGTGTGCACCCCGCTCTCAGGACTTGTTGGCTGAGCCCGAGGAGCGCCGCAGCTTCATGGACATGCGGCTCTTGCTAGTCCGAGGAGACATGGGTGAGGCTAAGTCTGTTCCATCCGCCTGCACTGCTGCTGCTGCTGCTGCTGGAGGCTCTCCCGGCTGAGTCTCTGGGCAGGAGCCTGCAGAGGACAGCAAGAACCGAGGCTGTCAGTGCTGCCTCCGTGCCGTGGCGTGGGCATCCGTACACGAGGGCAGGCAGGAGCCCCGTGCTGCCAGCAGCCCACCACGTGCACCAGCCCCTCACCAGCTGCGGGTGGCTGCAGTGACTGCCGCAGCACCAGCTCTAGATAAAGGGTGGTGCCGGGGACACCGGGCTGCAAGGCCACGGAAACCACCGCCCTCGGCCACTGACGCAGCACTGAGGTGGGCACTGTAACTCTGCTATGCAGCGGGACTGACCCCTCTCTAGCTCCCTCCGGGGATGGAGAGGGATTATGTAGGCCACTGCCCCAAAGAGTTCAATCCTTATGACAGCATGGAAGATAAGAGCCCATCGCGTGTCAAGGGAGCTCTGGGGATGCAACTGAAAAGGTGGAGTGAGCTGGGAGAGCAGAACGCCTCTTCCCACCTGAACTTCAGTCAGTGCTCCAAATTCCTGCAGGGCCCACAAGGCAAAGCTTGAACAGATCATACGAGCTGGATGCACTGTGCATCCCACGTTCTTTGTAAAAGGAACAAGATGAATTTGAGATAACGGTGCAGAGCTCATCCCCACGCCCAGAGCTGCTCCGCAGCGACGTCCCCACAGAAGCCCTTCTCATACAGCTCTGCCTGCTTCTGCCAATAGATACTATGGGAAAGAGGCAGCACGACATGACTGCCTCCTGAGTACAGAACTGGGACGCTGCAAACTCACATGCACAAAGCTAAACTGACTTGATCAGCCATCTGCAGAGACCAACAGCTGCCTGGCCCCAGTCCCCCCACTGCTGCTGACCACTTCCAAGCTGTGTAAACTGCAGACAGCAGCTCAGTCCTGCAGAAGTCAATGGAAAACCTCTGCCAGTTTCGGTAAGTCAGAAAGAACATCACCTGCTATTCTGTCTGCATCACAGCAATCCTTTTAAAATAATAATAATAATGCAATAATCAGAACTGAAGATATTTCTCTCTCAGTTAACATTTCACATATAATGGGTTCAAAAACTCTCTGCTAAAAACAGAACTTTTCTTTTCTTTAGAAAGACTGCTGTCAAATAAAATCATGGCAAAAAATTCAGGTAGGAAGCCTGTGAGTACAGTTAAAGCACTGCCATAAGCCTGAAGGGTTGGGTGACTGGAGCCCTCCTGGCCTGGCAACTACCCGCCTGTTCCACCAAGGCCCCACACTCTCTTTCTCCAGCTTACAGCAGCCACTGAGGTGACGGGGAGGAAAAAGGGCTGCTATTTGTTCCCCAGCTGGGGACAGCAATTCTCTTCATGAGCTGGAGACTTCATTGCCAAACAATCTGGAAAAGCACGATAATGCCTGACTTACTGCGCCTCATAAAAAAAGGCAGGCAGGGAAACATGCACTCTCATTTTCTGAAATTCTATCTTGTTCTAATTTTACAAGGAATTAAAGCATTTCAAACGGTGGAAGTTAGAGAACAGAAAATAACCGTTGTTGTTTTGCACAGCATACCATTCACAGCTAGCGTGAAAGACCTTCCGTTTCAAGCCTTTGCCCTTTACCTTGATGTGGCCAATGCTTTCTAGTGGAGGTTTTGGAAGGAGAAGAAATATCACAGCATTTCTTTCTTTGTTGAGAATGAAGAAGTGATGAGGAAGGAGAAGTGGAAAGAAGTGAGGAAGGGGGAGGAGAAAAGATAAAAGATAACAGGTGTGAGACATGAGACACGAACCGCAGAGATTGAAGGGTATTAACAGATGAGTACAGAAAACAGAATTTTGAATTTCATTATGTAATTGCTGCTCATGCTACAGGTTAAAGAGAGTGATGAGTTAGTTATGTGCAATGAAGCAACAGCTCAGAAATCCGGTGTCATACTTACCAACTAAGCATTACAAGAAAAAAGGAAGGGAGAGAGAAAGAAAAGAATTCTATGACATTATCCAGATCCAGCAACCTTGTTTATAGCAACAGATACATCCTAAGCATTGTCTGCAACGTTTTCTCAAAGTCTGTGAAAACAGTTAAATACTCACACACGTACACACAACCGAGAAGGAAAAACAAATGGCAGTTTGACATATGGCTTCTGCTCCCCAGCTGTTCCATCTTTTATGTACGCTACAATTATAGCCAATCTCAACAAGAGACTCTGAAATCACGTCAAGAAGAAAAAACACTGGATTTGAACTAGTTAGTCAAGTTAAGGAGTAAAACCATACTTCAAAATTTTATCAAGGGCTGGATAAGGAAAGCCTTAAACTATTTCAATCAGGGTATTATTTTTGTAATATCTTAACATTTTGATTATTATTACTGCAAACAGACATTAGAAATCACAGAATTCACATTGGACAATAATCCAATTTTAAGAAACTGACTTAGAGTTGCTAAAGAACAGAAGTCATGTAAAGTGATTTTCACATCTGAACATACCACACCAGAAGAGTGAAGAATAATGGCACTTAAAATATATTTAAAGTCTCACAGGAATCAACAGACTGATTCATAACTTATTTTCTTTGGATTTTAGATATGAATATATATCTATATGCACTCTCACACACACACACACACACAGTGTGGTTATATAAATTCGCAAGTTTTAAAACCTTCAGTGTAAGTTTGAAGTTTTCTATCTTTGTGCAATGAAATGTTTAGTTATCCAAACTATAAAAATAGCATTAAATAAGAAGGCCTTTTTCTCAATTAACCTATAACAAGAAAATTCAATTAAAATAAACAAAACAGATGAGTTAACTTTTTTGAGAGCTTGAAAAATGTTTAAAAGTCATTCATTTTTTTTAGTCTCTTAAGCTTGACAACTGACCGAACTGGCACGGAGCATTTTATCAGCTTGATACCAGTTTGATAGTGTGGGATCACAGCGTGAAGCTGTTTCAGTTGTCTGTGAACATGGAAGCTATTCAGGAGAGTTGAAAGGGGACATTTTCCCAATACATCTGCAATTTTTAGGATCCTCTAAAGACAGTAGGATTTTTATTTGTCTCAGAATGGAGCTATTTAAACATAAAAAGGAATCCTAACTACAGACTGACTTAAAAGGGATACAGATACAACATAGTACACCCATTTACATGGCACATCTCACTCAACAGTTCTGACTATTGCAGAGGTGAAAATTTAGACCACGAGTGCAGTGGGGCGCTGATCTGTTGCCTGTTGAGTTTCTGGTGTATCACATCAGTTGTGTGATCAGTGTTTTTCTGAGTATCATTTCTGTGAACAACCACCAAAGGAAATACCATTTGTCCATGTTGGTAAATTCTGATTTTAAGATGCTTCAAGCCCTGACTTGCCTGACCTCCAGAGAAGAGAACAATCAATTGAATAGTTTGTGCCCTCTGCCACTTTCACAAACACCAGCCCAAAGCTGGCCAGGCTATCAGTTCCACTCAGCAGAGCCTTGCTAGGGTCAAAGCATTATATCTATCAATAGTTTGGGGAAAAGATGAAAAGAAGCAAGAAGCAGGTACAGAGAGGATGACTGCAAAAGCAGTTGCCAAGCAAGATGAGAGGCAGAGATGATGAGTGGCCTGGAGACCTGGAGCTAGGTAGGAGAGAAAAAGCTGGAGCCAGACACAAGAAAGATGCACAACCAAAATGGGTTTATGGAATATGAGTGGAAGAGCTTACGTCCAGCAAAGAATACTTTTCAGAACCTGTCTGGAAAGCTGACTACTGGAGAAACCTATTCTGTATCAGCAACACTGAACATCCACTGGTAACATTTCCACTCTTTCCACTGGTAGAGGTTCAGGCAGAGGTAAGACGGCTCGCTGTCACCACAAATCACTGCACTGCCCCAGTTCTCAGAAATTGGTGGTGGATCTTAAGGCTACACTTTTGCTTATGAATCATGATGGCTATTAATCAGTGTTACAGTTTCTCTTTTGTCCTATGCCTTAAGCAAGAACAAGAATGGAAAAACCTACACATTAAATGTAGTTACAAAACAATTGATCTATAAAGTCAAACGTTCAAAAGCTAGGAAATATCAGAATTAGAACTGTACATGCTGCTTTAATGTCATCCCTTGGTACATATATGTATGGGACTTTTTTAATTGGGCAACCAAATTCCATTTTTTTCAGTAGACGCCATTAAGTGTACAAAGTTGATTCGTTTGGGACTCCAGCAGTCAGAGAATCACAGAATCATTTGAGTTGGAAGGGATCTTTACAGGTCATCTAGTCCAACTCCCCTGCAGTGAACAGGGACATCTAAAGCTAGCTAAAGCTAGATCAGGTTGCTGCAGTCCACACTGAATTTACTGCTTCAAAGTGCTGAGGATTCTCAGCTTATTATGACCAAAGTGGTCAGCAGCTATTCAGAACCATTTAATGTTTCAGCTTCGGTTGTCCAATGTGGAATTTTATTAAGTTCCGTGGTTTTGATTTGACTTGGAAGTACAAAAAATTCTTAATAAGACTGGACTGGAGAAGAATAATGAGAAACTCTTCGCAGCCTTACTAGACAAACAGCCTTCATAAAACTCCTCTGCTTTTAAGCATGTTTTTAATCACAGACTCCAACCATCAGCAAGAGCATTGGTTAGACCTCTCTGCAGTGAGAAAAGCAACACCACCACCTGTGAAGGGCTAAGACAGGATAAAAAAGATTATCAAATTCTCTATTCAAAGGTACACAGCAAACAAGCAGCAGGGATGATGACGCAAGCTCTGGAACGTGAGATATTCTTGTACAAGGCTGAAGAACCATTGACTCCACATTCCCCCACTTCTCTACATGTAAGTCAGCATCCCTGCTGACTGTGGGAGAGAGGCAACAGAACTGTACTGAACTCTGGCTTGAAAACACAGGAATGATTAATAAGATCAAAAGGTCTTCTGCTGGCATTGCAAGTAAGATACTATAGCTGAGAGGTTCCCTTTCTATGAGGTTTACTATACTGTGGTCCCATTTATGGTAGCAGAGAGAGTTAAAAAAAAAAAAGTACCACAAAGAAGAACCAAAAGTAAATCATCAATACAATTTAAAACTCGGAATCTTAGCATCGTGAGGTCAATAAGCCCTTCAATATCATTGAGCTTGTCACTGACAGTTTCCTTGGACTACTCTGGTGTCACAGAAATTGGTTTACTCAATGGCTGTATAGCAGGAAATATTAGTTTGCAGTTACTCTTTCTTTAGAGACAGCAAAAAGTAAAAAATGCAGTAACAAATGAATTATATTCTGTGACTAAACAGAGGTAAATCTCAATTTAAAAAAAAAAAAAGCATACATACATTACATTAGTCAAGTCCCTAAGCCTGGGAAGGGGGATTTTGCAGATATTTTGACAGGATAACCTACATATCTAGATAAAACAGCTGCTGCCAAAACAACATTGTATCAATGAGCAACCACTCTAAGGAAGGAAACAGTTTTTGTTGAGGACTGAAGCTTTCATAAACAGAAAAAGTACACTGTCACTGAACAGCATGTTCTCTATTGGCCAGTTGTCATAGTTTAATTGAAAAGTTTGGCATGCTGAAAGTGGCTGATATGATCATAACAAAATTGCAGTGGGCTTTTGTAGCTTCACTGCTTCCATATATCTGTCTCAGATTAAGGAACTGTATGTATGTAGTATTATTTATAAAAATTGAACATATTCAACAACTATAAGCTTTGAGATCATGATCCAAGTAAATAACCAAGTCTGTAATATCTAACATGTGGAAGTATTTTCTGGTTATTTCTGGTCTTTTTTCATAAAAAGTAGACAAAATATTTTTAATTTTGAAAAATAACTGCAACATAATTTTAGAAACTGGTCAGAAATTTTCAGGTGATGTGAAAACATCTGGCAGGTAGGCTGCAAAGTTTTGAGTCATTCTGGGTGCAATGAATGTATGTGGATGCCCAGGCAGGACTACAGTGCCACTTCTATGTGCAGTCCTGGAACAAGTCAGACCTCCATACTCATCTTTCAAGAATTGCCAGATCCATGGAAAGTAGAAATCTGGTGGAATCTTTCTTAGAACCATGGTCCTTCAAAGTTGAGGGTCATCTGCATTTACCCTGCTCACAGGTATACCTTCATTAGAACTGGAAACTGGTGGTTTCCAGACTAATCAAGCTTGGGAGATGACTGCTACTATATGGCACGAGGTCCAGAAGAATGTCTCCCTTAGGACAAGACATCACATTTTGTGGAGTGTAAACATGCGCATTCACTCAGATGTGAAATGCATGAGATTTCTGCAGAAAAACATTACATGGGAGAGAAAGCTTAAGACAAAAATCAATTTTTTTCAGAATTCTTTTTCCAGATCAAGTTAGAGTAAGTAAGTATGACTCAGACAATTTTTAAAAGAACACAGGAATTGCCACTGTGGAACAATGCCCTGTATTAGTTTGGTGCAATGGAGAGAAGCAGCTTTGCTTCTCCCTGAAAGAATAAGCTAGATGAAGAACACAGAACTACTTAGCCTGGAATGAAATTTCCAAAAGTGAACAGGCAGAACTGATACAAGCACACTAGAATATACACTATGTGGAATGTCTGATGCTGAATACATACTGAGAGCATTAGGTAGGAAAAGTGGCAAGGATTGGTGTCTCTGGTCACCGTTTTTAAAGTTTCCAGTTACAGATTCTTCCTATTCAAATGCTGTCATACATTAAATTATGTTACTATCTTTGAACTAATTTAATTAGTTTTAAATTACTGCCTTTTAATTTAGTTTCCCCTTGGTTTTGATTATTTACACTGGGATAGCTCTACCAATTACATTCTGAAACTAACTTCTATTTATGGTTTATACTTACACACCAAAGAATCTCACTGTTTTAACACCTCTCAGTCATTCTTTCTGCAGACTTCATCAGAATGCTTTTGTAATTCTGAAATTTATTTCTGCATAATTTATCAATTAACAAACAAATTTTGAGATAATAACTTACCAAATTAATTCTTACAAAATTTATTTTTTTTACATTTACAGCTTTTCCTCAATAGCACTTTGATTTATTTGACCTTAAATAGTGGTTTCTGAACAAAGAATTTCAAGTGTTACACATTCTTCTTCTCCTTCTCTCCTATGTTATCACTGCAGAATGCCTTACAACATCAATGAAAGACAGTACAGGGTACAAAACACACCACTGCCATTCAGTACTACTTGTTCATGCTGAGAAACGAAGGTCAATACAATAAAGTGTTACTCATTCAACAACTGTCTCTACCATTAGTTACCTTAATCCCAGAACCAGTGTTAGTGCTTCATGCAGACCTGAGGTTAGTAAAAGACTAAAACTTTAAGATGTAGTGGTCATTTCTCAATCAGTGTGAAATTCTTTTTAGTGTGAACGAGGGCAACAAGGAAAGTTTGCATACAATCTGGTTACAAGCTTAGTGCTCTAGTAAAAAGTAATAGGAACAAAGGGATTTTTTGGACACTTTGTCTTACCTTCAGATAAACAGAACTGATATTTAATGATCTAAAAAGAGGGGAAATAAAATAAATGAAATAATCATAAGGAGTTCAGGAAATTTCAGAACAGGAAGGCCTTGAGTTACTCATTTTCTTACCAATTTTCTTATTAGTAACTGAAAATGCAGTATCCTCTTATAAAACAGTGGAAAGCAAAAATGACCTTAAGAAAACTCTGCAACTAACAACCTGGAAACAGATGACTGCAAGGCTCTCAGGTTTCTAGTTTTGAACTTTTCATTCTAAAAATGCAAAGAGCTTAAAACTTTTTTTTTTTACAGAGAAGCCGTACTGACATTAAAGAAGCCTACACTAGCCTACATGAATCAGTACTGACAAGCCATGGAAATTTTATACGGGGGAATGCAATAAAATACATTGTGAAAATACACTTGCTATATTAAAGGAGCTTGCCAAGTCTTACTGTCTGGCATTGGCTCATGACGCCAGACAAAAGAAAAAGGGCTAAAGGTAACTTTGTAGAAGTTCTTTAATAGATATATATAGTCTTTTACAGTAATGAAAACCATTAATGATATGAAAAGGTTTGCATTTTCATTCTTTATAAGTAAGGATACTGCATTTGATGTAAGATTGTGTAAGAACAGTTCTTCACTGTTCTTCTTACCTGCATCTGAGGGAAAATGGTGGTAAGGTGCTGGACAGAAAACCTGAGCAGCAAAATCCTCAAAAGTTGTAGGTTCTAGGTGATGCTGAACAATTGTTTGCAGGTATCGTGCTCTCTCCTCATAGCTGGTTTAGCCGAGAATTAAGGAATAATTTTTATCATGTACTGTAATTGCTAAATATCAGTGTCTAGTAATTCAGAGCTCCTAATGTTAAATATGTATTTCAATGATGGTACACACTTATTTTTAATTCCTTACATAACTATAAGATTATCTGAAGCACTGTATTAACAGAAACTACGACAAATACAACAATGTGAACCTTACTGTTAGATTATTCCCTTTTCAAGCTTCATATAACACTTTCTGAAAATCTTTTCAAACTATAGCAATTTAAATGTTATCTCTAAACAAAATGCTTTGGCTACTCTGGTTAAAATTAAATTTAAATACCCACATTTTTAAGAATACAGTATGAACAGTAACATGAGCATTAACAAAATAATTTATTTTGCACTTTGCAATGACCAACTCTTTCCATAATCCGTAAACACACATGCAGCTAAGATAAATACAGAGTTAAATTTGGGTATTGGGAAAAACGCCTCATTGATTATGCTGTTAAAACACGCGAAAGTATTTGTAAAAAATCTGCAAGACCCCTAAATACCGGCTAACAGCGAGCTGGCAGGGCACTGACAGCAAAATACTGTACTTCTTCCTTTTCACCTTGTTCTCCCTCTCTGATATTATTGACAAGAGAGCAGTGTCTTGAAGTGTTGCTGCTTTTGAAGAACCCTCTCCAGGCTGCTTGTTCCAGCAGGCCTGATTGTGCTGTTAGCACAGAGAGAGCGAGAAAAAGAGAGAATATTTCTGCTGTTCACGAAAGCAACTATGGAAATGGCTGTCAAAATGTAGAGCAGCAGGCAGCAACATACAATTATCAAGAAAAACTACCATGCTGACTCCATGTCGTATAGTTCCTGAACTGAGAAATCAGTTAACCTTTTCTCTGACAACTTTCAAAGTCCTCCAGCTGGACTCAATATGCTGAATGACAGAGATTTTCCCAAGTTATCTCACATAATCACAACATGACCAAAATTTTTTCTTGACAGTTATGATTGTGCATATTTTGTTTCTGTATTTTATCTGTTGATAGTAAGATTGTGTTCGCCTCATACGTACATATATATTGCCTCCCATACCCCTCCCAAAAAAACCCAACCCCCGCCCCCAAAACCAAACCAACCAAACAAAAAACATGCACAATAAAATCCAAATCAGCATTCAGTGGAGGAATGTACTCAGAATCAGTTTCTCAAAGGTTCTGAGTTCTGACTTCTGGTTTGCTGCTCTTTTTGAGCAGGAGAGGGAGTGAGGAAACTTCGAGACTCAATTTTGTCTGTGAAATGGGGATAATATTCATCTCCGTATCTTGCACACATATTTTAGTAAATTAAACAAGAGAACTGCATTAGAAGTGACTAAAGTTTTTACTAACAATTGCTAACATTTTAAATAACTGTTTTTCAGTTATCATAATAAAATTCTCAGCCCTATATTAGAGCTGGAAACAATACCCTTCATCTTAGCTATTAAAAGTAGAGTTCAACTATTACAGAACTTTTCCTCTGCACAGTATTTGCTATATATTTTGCAGTACATCTAATATGTTGGAATGCAGAGAGAATGTATTATCTGAAAATAACTTTCTACTGAATACGATCACCTTAGTGGTGTTTCCTTAGACCACAACTTTGTTATGCAGTGAAACTGCAAAACAATTTTACCTTTAAAATCTGTGTTCCAATTTTTGTCTTTTGGATCCAGAGAGAGCTGAAACCCAGCAGAATTCTCAATCTTGAGAAGCTATAATAGAAGCACTGGGACAAGAGAAAATACAAAAATCTCCTATTGTAAAGACTCTTAGGTTGGGGGATAAACACAGTGTTGAGCCTTAAGAGAGAAGAGTAATATAGCACATTTTTAAAGAGGCTACATATAAGTGGTAGAGGATGAAACTGATGGTTGAAGTCTAAATAATACTATGTATCTCACAACTTGTTGAAAAGCACTTTTTTTCATTGGGGGAGATTCACAGCTGCTGAATTTTCTGCAGTTAATAGAGTCCTTTGATTCACAGCAGTGCCCCTTGCACAAAATATACTGGCCTTTGTGTATTACCAGAAACTAATTTTCTATTTGGCTGAAAAGGGAAAAATGGGGTTATTGCTTCTCCCTCCTACAGAGCTTTTCATTATGCCTGATGCACTCAACTTCTAAGCTCTTCTGAGAAAAAAAAATAACTGAAGAGGCAAGAGGTAGAAAAATGAGCTTGTTAGCACATTAGAAGTGAAGTATCTTGGTGGGCCCTAGAAATTCCCAGTGGTGTGTTAACTTATCACTCTATGCATGCTGGCACTGATAGTCTCCCAATTGATCACTCTCTTTTCGCACCAAAGGTGCTGCCAGGAAGCAAAGGCTGAAGGCCCACAGGAGAACAGGCTGCTATCAAAACAAGCTGTTTTTAAAAGTCTGCTTGAATGGGTAAAATGGTTCATGGTAAAGTAGGGTGGAGACACCTACCTCCTTTTCAAATGCTCTACTTTCAGAGGTCTCTGAAGAAAATCTTTTAGGTTATCCTATTATATCCAAAGCTTACACACAAATAAGGCAGAAATGAAGGAAAGTTACCACTCTGAATGCAACAAGGACTTTCTCATTCTCCAGTCTATGCACCCATCTCCTAACCAAATAAAGAAGTCTTGACACAGATGCTGACTGAGGAGGATAATGATGTTTTTCTTACTCAGTGGAGAGGACATGCTTATATCAGCTCTAGAAGACTAATTCAAATGCACACTTAGCACACCCAGAGAAAGGTAACTCAGCTGGCCTGGTTGCCTCTCATCTTAGCAATCTTCAAAACTACCCGCACTGCATCAAAAACAGAACTCTGCTAAAAAAACATCCACAAATCAGATGTGAAAGTCAAGTCCAAAACTTGCACTAAGAAGATACAACCTCATCAGAACAGCTCCTCTGTGTTAGAAAATGAGTAGCTGAGGTTTGGATACTTACATCTACTCACATGTACTTCAAGAATATTCCAGTATTTTAAATCTTCATTTTTATGCATTTGTGACTGAGATAATCCAGCTCTACACTTCATTTAAATGCTATTTATCTGCAAGAGCGACATAATCCCATGGAGGTTAATTTCTGCATTACTTCTATTAGGTTAGACATTTATTCTTTAAAATACTGCTCTCTAGGGAAGAGTTATTAGCACCTATAAATTGAGTGGCACACACAAACTCAAAGACTAGTAATAACAGTGGAAATATGGACTATATTCTTACTGTGAGTCGATGTTGCCACTGGCATTCCAATTAAGACAGAATGGGAAGGACACACAGACAAAACCAGCGGAGCAAGAATCAGTTTGTGACTAAAAAAGAAAGTTTGTGACTAAACACAAACTAACGTGCCATAAGCTTTCTGCTTCTGAAGAAGATGCTAACTGACAAAAAAAAGAATGGATAAAAGTGCAAGATATACATTAACCGTACAGACACTCACTCAAATCTGTCAGCTAAAAATTGGCAGATACATAACTTAACACAAAAAGCATAATAAAACATACAAAGATCTGATGAAATGATTTCATTGTATTTTTTTTAGAAGTTGTAGTCCTGCAATATACAATCAATATAACAACAACAAACAAGCCAGAAATGTGCCTATGTAGGTCATTCAAGCTGCAGTCACTGCAACTAACATTTCATTTGCATTACAACTGATGTGAATTTTTGTATACTCAGAACTGCAGAGTCCAATTTCAGAGCATCCCACTTTGAATCATAAAATGGCCTGGGTTGAAAAGGACCACAATGATCATCTAGTTTCAACCTCCCTGCTATATGCAGGGTTGCCAACCAGTAGACCAGGCTGCCCAGAGCCATAAGGCATTGACAGGGCATTCTCTTTGGATATCATTTTCAATCTGCCATTTCCTTGCAATAGTCAATAACTATTTGATCAAAACTACTAAGAAGACATCTGAAGGCTTATAATCTGTTGGCATGGAGGTCACACAGCCATTCATACTTCTCACTACTGTTTCACATATCCTTATGTTTTGCATCCTCCTTAACTTTTTAACTTCAAGGACACAAACATCACTTGTCTGTACATCTCAGTATAATGAGACTGTGGTCTATGGTCATGTTTATACACTGTCCATGGTTACACATATGACGTGATAATACAAGTAAAATATTTTTCTTCCATGCATCCTCATGCACCATCCTCATCTCCTTTTCATACTCAAAACAATTCCTTCACAGATCCATTTTTTTATTCACAGTTTTGTCATCCTTCCATTTGATGAGGAAATCTATTTCCTAATTACTTACATCTCTAGGTTTTTGTCTCAAATTCTTCTTTCTTGCAATTCTAATCATGCAATCTCTGTAAGTTGTACTTCCCGTTGCCCAGCCCCGTCTACTGTCTCCATCTTTCAAATTCTTATATCAAATCATCTATTCGTAATCATTTCCATAGGTTTATAATCTCAATCTAAGCACACTTTTTGTCTCCATTTGTATTTACATCCTTCTAAACTGAGTAAAAAGTCAGCCTGTAAGCTTTAGAATTGAGTAATATGTATTGCAAGCAACCTATCTAGTATTTAACAATTAAAGAAGAACAAATTTATGATTAGCACATAATAATCATCACGGGAGTACCAATCCTAATATTTCATTTAATATGAAGCTGAGAAAATACAAAGGAAAGGTAGTTTCAATGTGGAGTAAAATTGTCAAGACTTTAATTAAGAATACGGCTCTTCAAAATTGCGTAATCTGTCTTACAGGGGCATCTATGTGCTAGATCTACAAAAGAGCTGGAGAAGAAATTCTAGTGCTGACACTGAAGACTTCCTGAGCAGGGGCCATAAGCCAGGAACTCTTCTCACTCAGTGAAGTACTATAACCTCTGCTCTATACAGATGAGCACGTACTCTCCCTGTGATAAGGACATTTTATGAAACGAAGAGCAATTTCAGCAGTGAACCAAGTGCACCTATTACAAAATGTCCTCAGTTCCAATGGCTAG